CTCAACTCTTCTGCTCTTCATAAACCCTTTAGATTCCTTCCTTATATGACTGCTATGTTGCTCACTCCTTCAAGGCATATTTATCCAGCACATACTATGTGCCAGGCACTATGCTAGGTTAGCTGATTCAGTGGTAAATATAAGGTCCCTATTCTCATCCAGTTTAAGGCTAGCAGAAAGACGGACAAGCAAAAATGATGAGTGACGAATGATAAGTATCATGATAATAAACGTACAAACAGCTATGAAAACATATAGCAGATAGATATTACCTACTCTAAGAGACAGAAAAGTTCACAAAGAACTGGTAGATAGATATTGCCAGAAAAAAAACCATGTTCTCCATTTATGGTATCTCTGCCAGGCTTGGTCACACCAAACCCGGAATGCAAGTACAGATCCCTCAAAACTCATCATGGTTTCTCAAGCCTTCACCTGTTAGCACATACTATTCCCACAGTCTGGAATATCTTTTCCCAACGTCTCCACTTAGAAACCACCCTGCATTCTTTAAAAAATCTAGTTAATGCCCCTTTCTCTGTTAATCTTCCCTGGTTCACTCTCCGTTTTCTTTCTTCCCTCATCCCCAATAAAGACAGAGTTGAGTATTTCTTCCACTTCCCTTCTATGGCACTTACCAAATTATTACAGTTTACATATCTATTCTCCTGATTAAATTATGTATTCCTTGTTGATAGTGTACTTTCTCTTTCTTATGCTTGCATCTCCATACCCTAATACACAGTAAGCATTCAATAAATATTTCCTGAATGAATGAATGCTTACAAAAGTGTTGTGATGTATAAAGTTTTGTCTCTGTACAATGGGATACTGGGATATGTTTCAAAGTGCCTAAAGCCATTCCAATATGGTGACTCTTGGCTTGAAGGAGAGATAAGGGAGGGCACATATAAAGGAAGGACTTGCTACAGCACACCAGTTGGTCTAGCATCCAGAGGAACCTATGGAACTGATAAGATTACATGACAAACAATTCTGTACAAATAACAGATCATTTAAAATTACAAAAAAAATTTTAAAATTGGAAATAACAAATATGAAACTTAAAATGATTAAATGAAGTTTCACTCAACAGATCCTTTAAAAATCATATTTTGAAGAATATTTAATGACTAGAGAAAATGCTGGTCATTCCAATCAACTAGAAAAAAACAGCTACATCCTGTTCCCAATCATAAATTAAATATAAAAGCCATTTGGGGCTGGGCACAGTGGCTTACACCTGTAATCCCAGCACTTTGGGAGGCCAAGGTAAGAGGATCACTTGAGCCCAGGAGTTCGAGGCTACAGTGAGCTATGATCAGGCCACTGCACTCCAGCCTGGGCAATAGAGACTCTCTTAAAAAAAAAAAAAAAATCCATTCTGGAACATATTGGCTTAAAAATATTCAGAAAAAGGCCTAAAATAAACTATATTAGATTATTAACAGTGTTTATCTCTGGGTAATTTTCTACAACCAATGTCATTTAATAAATATTTATTGAGCATCTATCTGTTTGTTATAACACAGTAATATTCAACACACCAAAAAAAAAAGGTTCCTAGAATTTTTCTGGAATCTAAGCTGGAAACAGTTTGATCCAAATATTTGGATAAATAGCTTGTACTGTTGATTGTGAACTGTACCATTATACCACAATTGTTCTACATCACTACAGACAGAAAGTAGTAGAGATACTAAATCTCTAGATTTCCCATTCCTGTTAGCAGATTTAAAATTTGACAGTAATTACAAATAAAATTTTGCTCAGTTGAAATTTAATCCTTCATCCATCATCCACCACATTCCTTTTCTCTTCTGTGTTTCTTTCCCCTCTACCATTTCCTGCTCTCACCCTCAATGATTCACCCCATTCAACTAAAAGAGTCTTTATATTCCTCTTCTTCTTTCAACCAGGGAACAGCCAGTTTAAGATTGAGCTCTCCCCTCTTGGGGATTCTCAGGAAAGAAGCTTCAGGGGGGGAATCTGTGGTTTTGAAGAACATAAAAATAGTTCACAAAGAATCTCAAAGCTATAGTCCTTTTAAAGCTTCCACTTCAAAAGATACTTCAGGTGTTAAAAAAAAAAGTGGGAATAATATCTGAGAACAGTGACCAATTTACTTATTCTTCACTGTAATTATTTCACTAATTTATATCATGGATTGAAAATACTTCCACAACTTCCTAGCATTTTCAACACAGTGGTAAATAGTAAAATTACTCTAATTGCCCAGATCTTAAAAAATTCAGCACTACAGTATGACTGTTACATGTTTTTAGGCATATTAAGGAGTAAACATAAACTGACTGACAAAATTCTACAGGACTTAGATCACTGATAATGGATATGCTATGAAATAACTTTTCAGAAATATTTTCCCAGAGAACTCAAATAATTGAAATTTGTAATAAAAATACATATGAGGGTATCATAAAAGGCATTTCAGAAATATATAAACTATTACATAGTGTTTTAATGTCCAAAGCATATGCTCAGAGAACTGTGTGACAGAATCATTGACAGTCATTCATCAAATTTTTAGAGAGCACTCACTCTGTGCCAGGCACATAGGTGCTATTAGAGATAGGGCAGTGATGAACAAAACAAATAAAAATCCCTGCCCTCATGAAGCATTTTAGTGGATCTAGATAGATAATAAACAAGAAAAAATAAGTAAAACTATGTTAGATGGTGATAACTACAAGGAAAAAAAAGATAAAATAGGAACCAAAAGATGCAGAGGGTGTAAAAGAAAGGAGGAAGGGCACAAGCCATGTAGTTGTCTGAAAAAAGACATTCTGAGAGGAAATAGCAAGAACGAAGATCCAAAGGTGGAAAGATGCTTATAATGTTTAAGGAACAGCAAGTAGGCCAGTGTGGCTAGAGCAGAATGAGGGAAAGGAGAAGAGTAACAGATGGGGTTGGAGAGATAAGGGGGAGGGGGCTGGGGCTTGCTGAAGGAGCAATTGAGTAAGGCTTTTATGGACAGGTCTTACAGCAACAGGTACAAATTGAGGGTGCTTCCAGGTAATTAGAACAAAGGCAAACGAAAGGCAAGGAGCCATGAATGTCTTAAGAGTGTTCAGGAATCAGAGGCTGTCCTAGTCTGCAATGAGTATACATGAGTGAGCATGACTGTGAGGGGAGGGAACCATGTGTTGTAGGGTGAAGATGGGGTGTGATAAATATTCAGTGTTTGATCCTCTGTGTAGGAGCTGCAGAAGACAGACTAGGATGGGGAAGCACCAGAGTAAAAGACAGGTATTAGCAGTCCCTTTAATATAATCTTTGCTTTCCCTGGCAAGAATAAAATCTTGTTCCAGATAGTTGCTTTAGATGCTTGATCTATAAAGAAAAAAAGGCAGAGGTCTTGGGATCTTTGTGGGGAAAATACTCTTAAAATTTTCTTGTAGTAGGGAGAAGAGAAAATATACAAGAATTGGAATTTAGACTATTGTATAATTAGCATGAACTGAATTGAACTGGTCTAACACACAGTGAATCATAAGACAAGGATGACTAAAAAATGGGACTGAGAAGGCAAACAGGAATTTCAATTTTTAAAAGAACATTCTACAAAATGGCTAATCCATGGATAAACAAGTAAGAGTTAAGAACCTCTAATTTTGCAAAAAGAAGAAGGGGATTCTGTTATAGTTATCCACTTTGAATTTAAAGGTATTCATGAGGCAAGAGCTAGGACCTTGTTAACAATTCAACACCTTAGTACAGATGTACAGATGACTCAAATGCTTGTTTAATGAATAAAAAGCCTATCCACTATAGTTCACCTCAGTAGAATTGAACAATGCTAGAGTTATCATAATATCATCTTGAACTACTAGCACAAATAGGGGAGAAATTAAACAAAAGCAAATAAGTAGGAAGAAGGGATGTTTTCCTTCCATGTTGCCACCTGTGCAAAACAGCAACATATCCCAGAGGTGTCTACTGGTTAACTACCCATATGACACAAGATCATTTCAGCTATATGCAGGATTGCTGTTGGAATAATGGAATATATATATATACACATATATATATATCATGAACAAAGTCAATAAACAAAGCCGTTGCAAAAAACAAAGGAACGTTCCTTTAATACCCATATGAGTTGCATTAATGTTCCCCTTTTGATACACAAAACAAAAAGCATAGGTAATCTCGAACAATTTCTTTCCTCTGGACCCTCCAAGAACTCAGTGGATTTAGGGAATTTGTGTTTGCTTTTCTACCATGTTTTATTTAAATCCTAAATTAAGAGTAACTCACACTCATTGTTTGTTTTAATACACAAGAGCACAATACGAAGATAGAAGCTCTTATCCGTCCATGGTAATGGGATGTTTTAAATCCCAAAGAGAGAGGAACTGCTAAAATAGGAAAAAACCCAGGAATTTAGTATAACACTTTTATCATCAACTAGATACAAGTGATCAAACCTCCGCCAGGAAACTATCTTTCTACATGGGATAATCTTTGTACACATGTCTCTTTGACCCAATATTAGATTACTTACAGTTAAAGTTTAGAGACAGGGTTTCATATGGCTTTTTTTAGTCAGGCTCATCCATTAAAACAAGTCTTTTTTAAAAAAAATTCAAATATCTGAATGTCAATATTCTGTCCTGTCTACTGTCTCCTGAAGTATTTTTCCATGGCACACTAGAACATCCTTCAGTTTATTTCCATAAGCAGATTCAAACTCCCTTGAACACCATAAATAAGCCTTAAAAAGCCTTTATTACCACTCCCGCCTCATCCCCCGAAAAAGTACAACAGTGGTTTGTAACGATGTGGCTAGTCCTGCTTGTTGGTAGCGATTAGAACAAGCTGTGCATCGAGGGTGCTCTGAACGGAGTAAAAGGGACCTCAGCCGCTTCCTACCGAAGATGCAACAATAAAAGCATCCTCCCCTATCCCCATACTGCACCAGAAAGTGGCCCACTCCCAGGACCCAGTCGACCGCAGGATAAGGGCCCAGCCCGCCTCACCTTATAAACGTCCCCGTAGGTGCCGCTGCCGACCCTCTGAACTAGCTCGTAGTCCTGCTGCGGGTTCCGCCTCAGGATGTCCGCGGCAGGCCGCAGCGGGGCCTCCATCTTCGCTCAGGGCCGGGCCCCCGCCGGCTCTGCCCGCGGCTCCCCGATTCCCGCTAACGAGGGTGAGTAGCGCCGCTTCTCAACATGGAGCCTCCGCCCGCAGCAACTCCTGCACGACGGACGAACACAGGCGGGTTGGCATCGCGGGCTACGACCCCGAGGGCCCGCACCCCCGCGGCCCAGCCCCTTCCCTTCTGTCCTGCCTGTGGCCGTAGAGAAGCGGGCCTGGAAGGGTCCCGGGCGCCCCGCAGCCCCGTTCCGGCCGCGGCCCTTCCCCCTCTCCGGCCGCCCGCGAACTGCCCGGCCCGGCCTCCTCGCCCGCCGGGGCCCAGCGCCGGCTTGGTACCTGAGGGGGGCGGCCCCGCTCTTTGTTGAGCGCGGAGCCCGGGACCTGCTTCCTCGACGGCGCCCGCGTCCTCCTCCCCCGTAGCGGCCGACAGCCCTGGGTCTCGCGCCGCCACCAGCCCGCCGCACCGCGCGTCCTCTCGCAGGCGGCAGAGGCGCGTACGGTCGCCGCCGCCGCACCACGTTCCCCACCCGGGGCTGCGTCACCGGGAGACACGTTCCCGGCCAGCGTGGGTCGGCGCCCAGCGGCCCGCCCGAGCGCGCCGGCCGCGGGACCAGAGTGCCGCCCTGAGGCCTGGTGAGGACACGACACCCTCCTGACCGCGCCACAGCGGCCCCCTTGCTGGGTGCGTCCTTTCAGGGCCTAGGGCGCTCTCCTACCCACTCTCAGAGAGAAGAGACACCCCTGGGCATTCGTGGCCTGACAGGCCCTGGATAAACCGTCCCTAGATTTGTCAGGTAAACTTGGAGGGTGACGAGTAGAGGAAGAAGGGTGGGCACAAGGGTGATGGGAACGCAGCCCTCCAAGTTCAAGACGGAAAAGGTACGTTGAGGGCACTGGGCCAGAAGTAACCTGGCAGTGTGGGGCGCCGGGTAAGGAGGTGGGGGAGTGCCAGGTTAACTAAGTCTCGGCACACCCTACTGCACCTTCCTGTTTTGCAAACCATTCCTAGTGGTTCCAGTTTGAGGCTGCCCAGCACACTTGCACAATCTGTCTTCTACTTAGTTTTTCTGAGACATTTGTGAAAGCCTGAATTCCTAGGATGATTCAATGGCCTTTATCCTTGTTGGGCACACGTGGTGTCTCGCCGCGGGTATTGCATCTTTAATGGGATCAGGGGTACTGCAGAAGCTAAAATATAGTCAGGGGGTGCAGCCTGGTTCTGGCTCTACCACTTCCTTAATATGTGATCTGGGCCAGGACATCAGATTTGGCAATATTTCGGTGTCCTTATCTGCAGCTTGAAAAGCATAAGGTTTTGCATCTGACACTGTAAAAAGTGTTTGTAAAGCATTTTACAGGATTGTAAAGAGAGTTGTCAAATATAAGAGGTTTTAAAATACTTAACAATGCACAGGATATGGAACAGGAGTTCAGGGAAGTAATTTCACAAGCTGTTTTGCAGTTTCAGTTCCAGTCTTGTTCTGAAGGTAGAAATTAATTTGCCTGCATTATGTATACCGGCTAAGTTATTTCTAGAGTCTAGTATAGGTTTTTTTGTTTTTTTTTTTCTTGAGACAGAGTCTCACTCTTTTGCCCAGGCTAGAGTGAGTGCCATGGCGTCAGCCTAGCTCACAGCAACCTCACACTCCTGGGCTCAAGCGATCCTCCTGCCTCAGCCTCCCAAGTAGCTGGGACTACCGGCATGCGCCACCACGCTCGGCTAATTTTTTCTATATATTTTTAGTTGTCCGATTAATTTCTTTCTATTTTTAGTAGAGACGGGGTCTTGCTCTTGCTCAGGCTGTAGTATAGGTTTTGAACAGAAAAGCCAAATATCACTTAGCTACTGCATTTAGTGACTGAAAAATTACAAAAGAGCAAGTTGCAGATGTAGGCATGTGGCTTTGAACATCCAATTCAATTCTGTTCTTGGGAAATATGCTCTTTATTGTTGATAATTATAATCAATCGTATAATGTAGAAATTAAATTCACACCTTAACAGGACAGGGAATATATGTAATTTCTTGTGCTCCATGCACAAAGGGTACTTATTTAGAGAACATAAGTAAGCCCAGACTTACATGCTCCATGGACAAAGCCTATGTGTTTACTGCATTGAAAAAATTGTTGAAGAACAGTTCCTTCTTTCAAAGCTTCTTGGCACTTGTTTTCGTGGGCACATACTTTTGGCTTCAATGACTCAAAATCTCTTCAAATGTTCTATTGGTATCTTAGTACTTGCTTACTGTCATAATTCATTTGTTTTTTTTTTTTTCCTCTGACCCTATAAGCACTGATCTTTTCTCTAGTCTGAAATTCATTTATTCTTATTTATACCTGTATTATTCCACAGAGAATTTGAGGTAGCATATAGAAAATACATACTGTAATATAAGATAAAAATAAGCAAGTGAAGAAACTAGTATGAAGTTAGAGAGAAGAAAAATAGGAAAAAGAACAATGGAATAAATTAGCCAAAGAAGGGATTTTATAGTGTTTTTGAGATCTAGATGAACCAATTGATCAAGAAAGAGGTGCATGTTTTCCTGATACTAAGACTTCAGAAAGTTTTATCTCACGAGCCTTCATAAAGTGGAAATTGAATGCCCAGTTTGAGACAAGGATAAATATGCTGACAATCCTTTAAGCATGTTATTCTTGAAACACAACGTTTAAAATGAATTAGGCAGTAAAAAGTTTGAGGTCATAGTCTTCAACAAGACCCTGGAGAGCAGATATTTTTATGTTGCCAGTCATAGCGGTTCCGTATGCTTTGTCCATCAACCCAGAAGCAGATAGCATGGAAAAGTGGAAATTCTATGTGGTGGTTAAAAAATGTGTCTGCCATAATCATTATTTTACTTGTACCACAGTTGATGCCAAGAGGAAAACATTTGCTTTATGTTAACACCAAAAGAATCTTAAGGATTTTTAAATACTGGTTGAGTTAATTTTAACAAGATCAGTGAAGTGGATTGGTTGGTAAAGGAATTCAGATTTAATTTCCTTAAGATAAACATATAGTGAATAAATTTAATTTTATCCTAAACAATTAAGCACATGATTTCAAGGTTGAAGTTTATATAATAATAAATCATTGTAGCTAATGGGAGAGTTTCTTACAAACCACCCAACATTATAATGATAAGATGTAGAATAAGTATGGCTTGATATAGGTCCTTCATCCCGACTTAGTTGTCATATATTCTTAGTGTCTTCGTGATATCTGACATGTAAATATTTTTTGGCTTTAATTCTTATCTAAATAACAAACTATAATGGTTTTTTTCTCTGTTTTGTAGTGTTTTTCCCCTATTTCAGAGTTCTTAAGTAAAATGCTAATTATAATCTGTGGCCTCTAGTTTCAACTCTAATTTTAGCCAAGGCTGAATTTTAAAAATTTGAGACATAAATGTCTTTATCTTCTACATAGCTAATTTTCATAATTTATTATCCAAGAAAAAATGGCTAATCAAAACCTTAAAGTATGATAAGACAGAGCATAAGGACAACAGTTTTTGTCTATGGAACATACAGGTTTAAACAATACAGTAATCTGATGAATCTTCCAACTTAAAAGTAGTTGCAAAATGTAACTCTGTGTGACTGAGTTGACTGAAGAGCATAAGGTTTATATTTGTTAAATATAAATCAATTAAATGTTGGAAGACATTGCCACAATTGTGATTTGGATTTTCAAATAGTTATTAAACTATTCTTTCTATTACTAATTAGGGCCATTTGTCTGCCGAGGCAAAACCGTATTTTTCAAGTAGAGGGAAATGCTTATATTTTGTTCTGGGTAGCAATAGAACATGCATGGCATTCAGAGTAACTATCAGGTCATTATGATAAGAGTTTTAAAAAGAAGAAGTAAAGAAGACAGTACACATCCCTCTTTTACCCAGCTTGAATTGATCATTGGATATGTTAAGAAGCTGTTTCTGTTATTCTTTATCCTCAGAGTGGTTTTAAGGTTTATATGAGAATTGGTAGAAGGATTTCTATATTCAACTCACAAATTGGTTCTGTTTGCAAATTCAATTGCTAAGAAAAGATAACAGTTACAAATAATCTTATGCTGTCCCTTATCACTTTCTTCACATTATAATAGGTATAATGTTCAGAAGGGTGCCTAAAGTTTACCTATACCTCGTGTAGACTAGTGTTTTGAGCAGAAGAGGCCACAATGCTTGACAGTGACCCTATCCTACAGCTATATAGCTCTTGCAGGATTCCAATAAGCTCTCCTTTTCTTTGTCCCTTCAGGGCGAGAATGATACAGCTTCCCACTGTTGCTAATCTCAGGATACCTTGCTATCCCTTGTTGATTACCTTAACTCTGTCCTCATTTTTACATTTTATTTTATTTTATTTATTTATTTATTAGAGACAAGGTCTTACTATGTTGCCCAGGCTGGAGTGCAGTGGCTATTCACAGGCACAATCATACTGCACTGCGACCTTGAACTCCTGGCCTCAAAGGATTCACCCACCTCAGTCTCCTGAGTAGGTGGGACTACCGGCATGCACCACCATGCCTGACTCTCATTTTTATAAATAGTCCTTTCATTAGAATCTCTTTCTGTGCTATCTCTTTCTTCCCAGAATCCTGACTGATATAGGGATTAGAAGTAGTTTCAGAAAAGCGACCCTTGAAATGGCTTTCTGGGATGGCATTACTCACATATCTAATGGTTACCTGTATAAACTACCTATCAAGAAAAGTGAAACAATGGTATTCTGTAGTATCAGGTGGCATCACAACTACACATATACCCATCAGTAGTTGGCATGAGATGGAGTGTCAGTATAGGGTACAGCACTGGAAGATCAATCTCTAGCTGCTGTGATAGTGATGATTACTAAAATTGGCTGCTCTGACTGATTCCATGAGAATACATGAAGAAAAAGACAAATAGAGAGCCTTGAGTTCCAAACTTAAGGCACAACAAGAAAATCAGAAAGCTTCTTTGACAGCTTTGAAG